CAAATTTTATATTAAATATTAAAAATTATGTTTTGAATTTTTAATTTTAGCAAATTTTATATTATCGTAAATATCCTCAATATTTTGCATCTTATTGTTAATTATGTAATTAACATTATTAAATTTGTCATAGCCAGAACAATATTTTAAAAGCTTCAGCTTAATTCATAGCGTTTTGTTTTTACATCTGCAAAAAGTATAAGTATATTTTTACCGCTTATTATAGTTCGCTTCATATTTAAGTGAAGACAAGGTGGTTCTATACGCTAGAGAGCATTGGTATACAATGAGATACCTACACATTGTGAAGGTCTTTACTTCGAATATAAATAAGACTCTCATGGCATACGCAAATGTACGAGCACGAACAAAAAGATAAAAGAGAAGAAAAAATATAAAAGAAATAGAAAAGAATGGTCGTTGAATATGGCCTCATAACTCGTCTATATTACTCTATTTCATTCTCGTGCTCAGAGGCTCGTTTATCCAACACTATCTTATTCACGCGCAACACATGCATACTTCATACTGTCATCGTTCTTTCACTCTTTCATTCTCTCTCTCTTTCTCTCTCTCATATCAATAAAAACTGTAAATTATCAGCATATTGAGTTTCAGCATGAGATCAGCATGTCGCGAATATTTTTAGTTGTTTTCGAATAAAAAATTGATTGAAAAAAAGAAATCTTTGTCCAAAAAATTCAATTTCGCTCTTCCTACGATTATGTAAATTGTAGTACAATATGCATTATTATTATACATTTAACATATGTCCTTATACAGGATCCAGCTGAATAACATATATAAGCAGATATAGAGTATTCTTTATGAAAAAAATAAGGAAAAAAAAAAAAAAAAAAAGTCAAATTAATTCTAAAATTATTTTTTCTAAAAATTAACAAAATAATAAAATTAATTTTTAATTTTTTGCTTTCTTTTACACGTAGAATAATTTCCTATTGATAATTTATTCCAGAAATTTAATCAATTTCACTTGTACTCGAAAAATTTTCAAATTTGATTTTTTCAAAAATAAAACTTAAAAAAAATTTACTTTTTATTTTTTTTTTTCTTATTTTATGCTATGCTCATTTTACGGATCCTATATGATCGAAGCCAATTCCCATAACATTTTTAGATATTCTTTGAAATTCAAGTGATTTCCATATTTTACTCTCAATATGTTAATATTTACATAAATAATAGTGCACCCGAGAGTCAGACTAGTATAATAAGCCACGTTAATGCATCTTTACAAACATCTTGTACTCATTGTCGCAATGCTAATACTGAGACGATTCCAGTTTTCTAACAAAAATTTTTTACTTGAGACTTTATTCTAGGATTCCATTTTTTATTATTACTTTAAATATCTCTATCAAATGTGATTAACAATGCGTCATAGAAAAAAATCATTAGTTTAAATTTGTCATTAACAAGATATTCTTTTAAGATTATTTATGATTTCATAAGATTATTCTTAATTTTTTATATTCTATTATTTTCATAAATAATTAAGCAAAAAGTTTATAAGTTCAATGTAATATAATGTATCTTTTATAAAATGAAATATTATAAATAAAAAAAGATACTTTTTCCTTTTTTTTTTTTGATACTTATTATGTCATCAAAAACAACAAGAGATATTAAAAGTAATCAATGGTATTGTTCTATAAATTGCAAATACATATAGATATATTGTTTTAATCGTCCGATATGCACCCAAAATCGATGATTGCCGAAACGCAGTGGACTTATGACACTCTGACTGTCAGGTACAGAATACATAATAACATAAATGTGTCACACTTCGTAGCCTCTCGCGGCGGTTTTCTCTACTCGTCTCGCAACTAATTTTCATATCAGAAGCCAGATTGGCTTCGATAAGTTAACTTAAACGGAAAAAATACAAAATACAAAAAAAAAAAAAAAATTAAGAAAAAGAAAAACACAGAGATGATAGATGTACAGTCTCTATCCTGATTCCATCATGGCCATGAGAATGGGCCATCGTGTATCGAGAGATCATAGACGTTGCCTCGACGCAGAGAGTCGTTAAGCACCTTTCGGTAGATAGGCCGACTGGAATGCAATTTTATCGCTCTTTTTTTCTTTTTCTTCTTTTTTTTTTATTTTCTTCACCGCCTAATTGCACACGTGCTCCTCTCGTTTGTGTCGACACAGCTCGCACTTCACGTGACAACACCAGACAAATCGACAGTTGCATTTTTCTGTCACATCTCGGACTCTCGTTTGGTAACCCCGACCGCAGCATAATAATCGACATCCGTCCAATCCGAGAGACGTTCGATTGCATATCCTTCCTCTTGTCCCGGGAATACCGAGCCTGGAATTAGATATAAAAATTACAAAAAAAATCAAATGTTTATTGGAGAAATTTATTCACTACAGAGAGTTGTAATTTTAGTTTGTTATCTAAAATAACTTTTTTTTATTAGGCATTGAATGGGCACATAAAGATTAGATATAAATCAGTAGTTTTTCATAGATTTTTCTATCTATATGCTGTCTTTCTAAATTTTATTCTAAATTCTAAATTTCTATTTATATTATATTCTATTAATATATATAATATATATAATTTCTATTAATTGCAATAAAAAATATAATGCAAAAATAAAGTTGAGATAAAATAATAATCTAAATAAACATTCTGTGAAATTTCTTCTGAATATTTATATTCACTAAAAAATAACAATAATTAATAAATTAATCATAATAATTAATTAATAATTAATAATTATAAATAACCATTTTTAAAAGTTAACAACATTTCTTTAATAATTAATTTTATATATAAAGAAATTTCATCAAAATAATAGAACTCTATAGTTTGAATAACAAAAGATTTCCAAAATAAGATTTAGCTTCTCACGTTATATTTTTTTCGCAATAGTCAGGACTGTCTTCAAGATATACTAGATCCGTTTTATTAGGTCGTTTGAGATCTGGACGGGCAGGCCTCAATCTCGCTGGTCTTCTTCCGCCACGTTGTGCCAATCGTACCAAAGCTGCGCCTTCGTGTAATGCGGCTAATGCTGCTCCAGCTACTCTAAATGCTGGTAATTTTCTCCAACAAACACGTACGCTGCATGAGCCAGACATTCCTTAGACAATAAAACAATAAAATTTAGAAAAGTAAAAATAATTATAAAAATAATGTAATACAAAAAGAATGGTATGATCTAAATATTTAGGATTTTTTTGTCTTATGATTTTTACTAATAGAATACTTAACAAGATATAAGATAAAATAAAATATACAAAATTTTTAACGTATAAGATCATTTATAAGAATTAAAATATATTTTTATCAAAATAATGTTATTGAAACTAATTGCAAGAGAATCCAAATCTGATAGATATATTTTAAAACAAGATTTAATAACATTTTTTTATTAATATAAACATTTCCATTATTTTTGTAAATTAAGAACTTATTATCTATCTCGTTACAGTTTCATATTTAATATTTAAACAAATATTTTATATTATTGTCACATGATATTTTTTACATTCTAATATTTCTGTATTTTTTAAACCTAATTTTTTCATATATTCAATAAGATATCTTCGAAAAAAATAAGCAAGGAAATAGATTGTAAGTTCCATAAGCTAGTAAAACTAACATCATATTTCATTTTTTTATATTTGAATGCTGAAATAAGTCTTGAAAGAAGTTCTTCTGCCCATGGATCTATACATACACAAATGCAACGAGCTAACAAGCGCAAAGAGAGAGAAAACAAAGGATTAGTGAAATTCTAAGTCGTTAAAGCGTGATGAACGAAAAATAAGAGCGTAGATAGAAGGCTTTATCTGTAAAACGCGTTAATGGCTTACCGTGACACTTGCATACGCGTTGCATTCTTGAACGGACTGCGCGCCTGCCAGCTTCACTATCGTGCTTCCTCATTAGCTGGCCAGCCAGCCCTTTAGGTCCATGCAGCACACCCTCCTTTACAGGTTCTTCGCCACTGTCTGACCATTCTCGCGAGAACTTCTCTCCAAAGTGGATATCCTGAAAAAAAAGAAAAAATATTTTTAAGTGAAAATTTGATTTTTTCATTATAAATTAAATCTGTAATAGCATAAACTATTATGTAATGTTATCAAAAACATGATATTTTTATGCAAATAGCATATTTTTATGGAAATAAAATTATTTTAAATAAAAATCCATGATGATAGAATATGATAATTAAATATAATATTATTTTTCCTTTTTTTAAAAATAAAGTTTGACTTTGAATTTTTATTATTATAATTTATTAGAAACTACAACATAATCCTTTTGAAATATTTATGATATTGCTTTTCATTCCTTTTGAAATTTTCAATAAAAAATATCGTTACTAATAAATTGTCAATTCATAAATTCTAAAGATGTTAATATATATGTATAATATCTTGAGTTTTTAATATGTAGAATAGAATATTCGAATATGAAGTTATTAAAATTAAAAATTATAAAATTTAAAAAAAAATTGTATGTATTTCATAATCTATTGTAAAATTATTCGTTATTATTGTATTACGTTATTATTATATTATGTATACATATTATGTATAAGATGATAAAATAGTGATAGATTAACAATAAATTAAAATTAAAATTAGTTTATTATTTTAAAAAATTAGTTTCAAAAAAATATGGAATATTCACAATTAAGTTATTTTATTTATTTATAAATTATTATTATTTAATTTTTCAAACTTTTTAATGTTATTGAGTAGCAGAAAGAATTTTTATTAATAATCAATATCTTTATTAAAGAAATTAAACTTAATTTAAATTTATTATTATTTATTTATTTGCTTAAGCGAGAAAAGAGGATTCATCATAAAAAGATAATTTTATATCATTTTATATAATAAATTGAACAAATTGCCGTCATAATATAATTTTACCAGTTTAATATAAACATTTATATATATCTTTTATTAGAATTATTTATATATCGTTTTGCTACATTTATCGCGTGTATATGATAACCTCACCTAGCGAATAATACATGAATATTCTTTTCCTAAATTCAAAATGTTAAAAATGTCAGAATTGAATCAAATAATCTTTGCAAACTTATTAACAAATCATGATTACCTGTTTTGATAATCTTTTTCTCTTCAAATGAAATCACAGACATTACACTTCTTTTTTCTATTTCGATCAAAATTTTAAAAGGTAAGAATTCTAACAGAAAGCACCATCTAACGGATGTCGACTTATCGACGAGAAGTATAACGGTAGCTACAATATTCTTTAGCCAAGCTCGAGACACGACAAGGTCGGCAAACATCATTATCTAGAAAATCTGTCAACGGGTTGGAGTGTAGACGAAATATCCCACGGGGTATGATGCCGCGTCGACTCGTTAAGGAATCCATGTCCGGAACTTGGTTAAAGGCTAGAGGCCGCACAAGTGGACGAGTAGGTAATCCCGAAGGTAAAAGCAGCGCCACTTTTCCGACACTTTCCGCTCCTCTTCCTGCCACGTGAGTTGCTCGAGAGCACGTGTCTCCCACCTTCCGTCTCTTCTTTCTTCTTTTTTTTTGTTCCTGATCATCCGTCTAGCCCGCCTTTTTTTCTCGCTACGCGCTAGCCTTTTCTCTGTTGTCTTTTCTCACGCTTTCCAGTCTTTGTTCATTTTTCTTTTCCTTTCTATTTTGTTTCTTTGCTTGTAACTATTCTTATTTTCCTGATTTTTTTTGCTATTTTTTTATTTTTATTTTTTTTGTTTTCTTTCTATTTTGTCTATTTTTTTTTGTTCTTTTTAGTTATGAATTTTTTATTATTTTTTATATGTGTATATATATATATGTGTATATATATGTATATATATGTGTATATCTTTTAGAATAGGAAATTTGTTCTTTTTACTGCTTTGAATCTGACTTTTAATTTTGTTAATTAATTTTTTTTTTCCTTTGATGTTTTGTTAATTTTTGTTTGATATCCCTTCATTGATCTGTTTTATACATACTTTTAACTTTTTCCTTTTTTTATTTTTTCTATTTTGTTCATATCTCATATAATCAATGTCTTTTCTTTCTTACTTTTTCTTTATTCTTATTCTTTTATTATATGATTCTTTAAACTTTTCTTGTTTTCATTTTTTTTTTATTCTTCTCTTTGATATTTTATATATCTTTATATCATTCATCTTTCATTTATAATCCTTAAAAACTTTCCTACTATCTTTTGCTTCCCTTATTTATTTTCTTTTTCTATCTTTTCCTACACCATTCTTTCATCAATTTTTTTATCATCCACGATTTGTCCTCGAACTTCGTTTCCAATTGCCCTTTACTTCTCCCACCTTCTCATCGCTCTCTACCTACCATCATTACATCTATCTCTCACTCTCTTGCTCTTCTTTCTTATTGTAGGTATTTACGTTCTTGTGTGCATCACTCACGTGCAAGTTACGTGACCGATATGTCGGGCTTGTGCGGGGACAGGAGGTGGCGGGTTGTTGCAACTTAACAAGCTTAGCCCCCTTAATCCCCTTGTAAGCTAGCAATGTCTACAAGGGGTCAGCCGTACGCATGAAATGCATCCGTTTACAGGACGAGCTTTGTCTTCGTTCCAGGGTTAAGGTTTACGTCGACCGACCGTGGAGAGATCGAGACGACAAATTGGGGATGCCCGTGCGGGGCAGTGCTTCCCCCGTGCACTTACAAGGGAGGCCTCTCTTCTGAAGGGTCAACAAGAGTGAAGTATTATTTTTTGTTTTATTTTGTATTTTCATTTTTTTTTATTTTTCCTATTTTAGATTTTTATAATTATAATTTCATCTATATTATTTTATTCATAACTTTTGAATTTTTTAATATATCAAATATTAATTAACAAAAATGAAAATTTTTTTGTTTTATTTCATATTTTTGTTTTTTGTTATTTTATTTTCTTTATATTGTTATGTATTATTTTATTTTATATTTTATTTTATCAAAAATTGTTTGAAATTTAAATAATATTTCAAAAAATATGTATGATGTATAAAAATAATTATCTTTAAAATATTTTTTTTATTAAAAAAGTTTTTAATATCTATCCACAAGTTATCAATAATACTGATTCAAAGTTAATGTATTTTAGAATAAAACAACGTTTTTCAAATCTAATCTATCTTTTATAAAAAAATCAATTCTTTCTAATTTTGTCTTCATTAAACAATTTATATTCTACAGAAAATTATAAAATATTTTAGTATATAGTACAACGAATAGGTGCATATCCTTTAATTTTTATTTTTTCAGAAGAATATTTTAAATTTTTAATTTAGTATGATAAACTTTTTTACATTTTTTTTTAACAATGTATTCATTATATACTATTACATAATATTATATAACTGTATAATATCTATACTATCATATTACATTATATAATAGAATACTATATATATATACAAAACAACAATCTACATAATTAAATCATAAAATTATAACGAATTTTATAATTAAACTATTTGGACAAATTATGAATTCTATCAGTTTTAATGCATTTGTTCAAAATTCAATGAGAATTACTTAAAAAAAAAATAATTAAAATATTTAATAAAATTATTCAATTTTACAACGTTTCTAATGAACATTACATATATTTTCCAGAGTCCGTTCAAAAAGATATTAATCTACTAATCTTATAAGGCTACGAACAGAAGATATCGATTTTAATATAAAGAAAAGCCAACAGTTCGTTTTCTGCATCGATGAGGGGCTTGTCCCTTAAATCGTGTTACTAGGAACACGAAGAAAAAGATATTGTTACGTACATATTTTGTACCTGTCCTCCTTAATTCTGAAAGAATGACAAATTTTAATTGTTGTTTATTTCGGTATGGAATTTCATTAATGCCACCTATTTCGATTGATTTACGATCAATAATAAGAATAATAATAATAAGAATCAAAAAATAATAATAAAAAAATTAAATCAACAACAAGTTTCATGTTTTCACGAAATTGAAAACTTCGCCTTAAGCTAACCACACAACCAATGGGTAATTCCATCGGCTGGTATGAGTTCCCTCGCTTAATTAACGAACGTTGCGTAAGAACGAATTCGTTAAAGCGAATCGAAATTAATTAAATTGGCCTTTCGAGCCGTGAAATTAAAGTGTAAAAGTGTTTTCATGTATTGTAATTTTTTATATATATATATTATGTATACGGATGTATATATATTATATTGGTGGTACAATCAAATAGAAAATGAATCATTATGAAAAGTTAAGTGGAAAAGGAAAAAAAAAATAATCTTTTCATTTGAAGTTTAATTTTTAGATAAATCAAGTTTGAAAATTATTTAAGTGCATACAAAATTGATTAATTTTATTAATTTTTTATTATTATGCAAATTAAAAATTTTATGAATTATATTATAGAAATATAATTGAAATAAAAACCTGCTTTTTGCTTTAAATAATTTACATTAATATAACATTAATATCATAATATTGCATTGGATATTTTTTGTATTATCATGTGTATTTTGTAGATTATTGGTATGAAATGTTTTATAAGAAATAAATTATGAAATAAATGATGCTCTCGAATATCATTTTCTTATGTTTCACATTTAAAATAAAAAATTCTATAAGTTATCGAATTGCAAATGTACTTCTGGTATAAATGGGACGATATTTAAAAGGCAAAATAGATCTTTACTTCAATTTTCTGTAATTGTGTATAAAATTTTAAATTTGCACATATTCTCAGTTTAATAATCTAATTAATTAATTAAAAGAAGACATAAATAATGTAATTTCTTATTGAATTTTTTCTGTTTTTACATATTGAATCGTTGAAAAAAGAAACATTTAAATTATTTGTTATAATCAAATTAGAAATATATAATAGTTCAAAAAAATAAAAATAAACATTCTTCTATCTCTAAAGAATTAAAATAATCTTCTTTAGAGTTTCATCTTATTGAAAGCTAGCTTTTCATCTATCATATAAATGTTGGACTTGCTTAAAAATATCAATAGAACTATTTAAGATTCTAAAAAATAAAAAGACATAAGTTTGGGAATAAAAAAATAAAGTGGATTGAATTTATATTTATCGTTATCTTTCAAAAGAAAAGAGAATATAAATAGGGGAAATTACCTCGCTACAGCCGCCCCATTGCCAATTATTCGGATGGCGTGTTCTGACCCGGTTGTCGCACGAGCAATCGGTGAGTTCGCCCCTGGAACAAGCTCTGGTGACGCTGTAAGCAACCCCTGCCGCTGATATTGCATATACAAATGCTGCTTCGCGACTGTCTGCAAAGATGAATCGGAATTTCTTTGTTACAATGCGAGTTTTTTAATTTTTGAAATTTATTCTAAATAATTTCATTCTGATATTAAAAGAATTAAATTATTGCACCTGTGTCGCCAAAGATTCTAATTAAAATTACTTCTTGCTTCTAGATAAAAAAGATAGTTATCTTAATTGCTTCAATTTCCAAGGCTGATCATTCTATCTAAAGGATAATATACCTGGATAATTAATAAATATTTGTTTAATTAATTTGTTTATGTATAAATGTTGACATCCTATATATGTATATATGTTAGAACTTATGACATGGATATCAATATTTGTGCTGTGTATATAGGATATATATTTCTTAATATATTTATATATTTTGGAATATTTTTTGAAATAAATACAAAAATTAATATAAAAAAATTTTGATTCATTAAATTATAAGTAATTGAAATTTATATTAGATGAAATGAGAGCAGCAATGTAATGGAAACAAATTGTTTATAATATATTTACTTTTATATAATATACTTAATAAATATTTTTATTATAACAATGCACAATGATGGCAATTATATTATGATAATTAATAAAAAATAAATAATTTAATAAATTAACTTAATAAATTAATAATAATTAAAAATAAACACACATATTATGTGATGATTAATATAATATTAATATTAGTAATAATCTAAGTACTATGGTTTTACATTGCATCTGTTTTCACTATATTTATTATTTTCTATTTTCAAAAATTCATTGTCAAATTGAATTTCCATATCAAGCCTATCACTGATGTCTATAAGACATTCCATTCTCATGTCAAATATCTTTGCACTCTGAACTTTTACCTTATCAAGAATACTTCCATCGTGTCTAAGCTTTATTCTCTTCAAGACTGAGCTTTTACTTACTGACTAGCATTACGCCGCCAAAAATATTATCCGGATTTTCCGGGGTGATGGAGCAATTCCATCTTGCCGATCTGAATTGATGCTGACACTCCTCAATCGCCAATCTCGCGCCAGCACTTACTGCCTGTAAATAAAAACATGAAAGCTGCCAGTAGAAACGTAAAATAGTAATGTGAATATGTTTTTATGTGAATATAAATGTACATATATTTTCCATCGATTGATTGAGTGACATGCGAGAAACGGATGTACAAATAATTTTTACTTGTTTGCTATTAGCTTCTGATTAGATTCGTTTAATATTGAATCTAATGTTACGATATAACTAAACCAATATTGGTAACGTGTTGATATATAATAAGATCTATTGAAGATCTATTGGCGTGTAATTGTATGTTATAATAGCAGGTGATTGAAATTGATACGATCTTGATCACTGTAATTAATGCTGATTAGTTGTTTTTAGTATTATTGGATGACGTTTATTGAGGATTTGAATACTTTAGAGTGATTTATAATTTTTATAAAAATTACATGCATAGATAAAATTAGAATAAAATTTAAATTAAAGAATTTCTGGTAATTTTGATGTTAAAGATAATTTCTTTAAAATTCTAATTATTTTATTTTTTATAAAAAGATTTAAACAGATTATTCATAAATACAATTAAAGTAAAATTAATGCTTTTATATTATGAATTTCGTTAATAATTATTTAAAAATTATTATTTATCTATAAAAAATAATTTATATATTAAAATCAACATATACAAAAATAAATCATAAAAAAATATATATATATAAAATTTAAAAACAAATTTCATTTTTACAAATATAATTATAATAATAATTATAAATTTCAACGATTTATAATTTCAAATTATGAAATGACGTTATAATTCGAATAAACATGAATTAAATTTTTCTCAAGCTTCAATATTACCTTTAATTACAATTTACAAAATA